GTGCAGAATATTATAGTGTAACGTTTACATTTAAAGCAACTTTATACTATGTTTGAATTACATAAATAACGCCACGTCAAAATATGCACGGATGTGCAATACCGTTTTTTTATGGAGTCGCAAAAATTTCGAAGTAATGATATTATATTTTGACGAAAAAAAAACAAACTTATATGAACATTTATCTCATTCAGTTCATTTCATACTGTAGGCAATTAATATTGAATGAAGAAAATCAGCAAATCTGTAAAACCTATATCAGAATATCAAACCCTGAAAATAGAGGTAGCAATTGAAATTATTGTTGCTTCACTGCCTCATGTTCAGTTGAATAAAGCATAATCATAATTGCCTCTAACGAAGAAAGCCACACAAAATAAACAGATTTTGGAAATATTAATTTAAACTTCCTACCTTTACGACCATTAATGAAGCTTGTACAGTCAACCGTATTGATTTAAGCTGTCTTGTTTTCATTATATTTTACCTTAAATATTTTACATGTTACATTTTGATTTATAACCATACCCGTGTAGAGTAACTGTGATACATATGAAACGAACTGAATATTAGAGAAAAACACGCATATGAAACATGTTTTTTTTTAACGGTATAAAAATTTTTCGAATTGATGATTTCCTTCTAATGAAGTTAAAGAATTAGTAAACAAACCTGTACAGTATCGTATAATGTGCACATCAAGCATCTACTCATTTATTTTTTTATTTAAAGTTATCATTGCGGTGAAAATTGCTTAATATTTTAGCGCAATTATTGTCTTTGAAGCACATTTTAAGGACATTCGAGGCATCATAAAACAAAGAGGCCACACAAACAGTTTGACAAAGCTTTGTTCACAACGCCATGAGTGATATGAACCCAGTGATATTGGTTTAATCTCGCGAAATAAAAATAAACAACACATACTTTCCTTTATTAGCATGAACTATTAAAACGACTTGACAGAATACATCTAAACTATCAACGCAACTCGTAAATTACAAAATAAGATATCACTACATGCCTATTGCGGCACTAATGCAGTAGGGGCTATTTTGACTATTTTGACAACTGTTTTGTAATTTACTTGCAATTTAAGTGCCGTATGCAAAGTGTTATTTACTTCCTTTGTACACACTATTTTACTTCAAAATACATTTCCCTAATTGTTATGAGATAAGTATGGATCTTGAGCCATGCTGCGTTCATTATGATTAATAATGAAATTTCAAGGTAAATTTGTTGTCCCCTTAGTTTCATATAAAGGAGGAAGTGATTTCGATAATTTCAAGCGTATAACGTACTCACCCACTTCACTAAACAATTTTTTTTTCTCAATAGTATACTCCTGTTTGGAAGTGTCCGTTATATAAAACAATGATACCAAAATGATGTGATATCTTCCTTGTTACATCTACATTAAAGTGTTTATTCCAATTGAATACATACAAGGTTAGCTTTTTAAAAAGCAAGAAGTGACTCGCGTTGTCATTTCAATTTCCTGCTGTGTGTTTAAATGTCAAATTGACAGCTTCCTCAGTTTAACAGCAACCTGGATAATGATTGAATTAGCAACGAGGAAGGTGGCAATTGGCCTCAATGCGATCACCTGAGGACCAGGAAAGAATGAAGCCCTATGTATATCGAGGTTTGATCTCAAAATAGTCAAAAAAGCCTTCTTTATTCCATTTAAGATATTGCAGTTTTGCAGTCAACTCTCGATATGCACTTTAACTTTATTGCCCGTTGTATGTTTGTGATATATCAGGTCCCAGTGAACTTGACCTTTTGACCTGAAAATGTGCGTGGTAGTTAAAACTCATCAAGGTGACTCCACATATGAAGTTTAATTGTTATAGGTAAATTAGTATTGGAATGAGTGACAGCAAGCACAAGTCCTATACAAAAATCTGGATAAAGTGTGACTCCTCGGAATCATTAATCACACCAGCTTTACATGAAAATTGCACGGTCGGTTTGATTGAGTATGTACATTAGGGATAATGCAAAAAAGTGCAACATCCCACACGCCGTCTAACACCGACTTGAGCGGTTACCAATTTTTAACACTTAATAGTGTTGGAATCCATGACCCGAAGGGCCAGAAAAAAAGTCCATATTAATCAAGTACCCCCATAGGCTGGGCAAATATTTACTCATGGGTTATGAGTAACATTTGTTTGTAAAAGTTCACAAGCAATGCTTCATATCCAATGTTTCATGTTCAGGCATTAAAGTTTCATACAATAAGACTTTAATATATTTTCCCTATGAAGGTTAATATAAATCATGACCCCCTTAGACGCGGAATATTTTGACATGATTTAGATGCGTGTATATCTTGTTAGGGTCCACAAGGTAATGCCAAATAGTTAAGCTTTGGACATTTTAATTTGAGAAAATAGGGTTTAAATATATGTTTTTCCTAATATAAGTCCAGACGTTCCCTTGACCTACCGGACACATTTAAAAAAAAACTTTGAAAGGGGACCAACGAAGGATCATTCCTGCAAGGTTTGGTTAGAGGAGCTGTTCTTTAAAGCAAAATAAGACGGTATTTTATTGATAATTGGATCAAGAAAAAGATCATGAATAATGAAAATACATTTGAAAATAAACCAAAACTATCTAAACATTTAGTGGTATGTGCCTACATGTAAACTTGAACTGAACATGTATTAAATGATATGACATCATTGTACAATCCTTTGACTCTTTAAGTTACATGTATCATTTGAAAAAAATCCCTTTGATATTTTACATATTGTAATATCTAGGTAATTATTTGAATCTGAATCCAAATTAAAATTAAACCTGTATTTTATTTGTTGCAGTCGTGTTCTGAAAATTATCTTAAATCAAGTGACTCCTAAAAAGATAAATGTGAAAACCAAGTATTTGCCAAAATTTGGTGAAGAGGAGCAAAAACTATGTTAAAAATAAAGTGGTCTGACCCCAAATTTAAACTCAACCTGAAAGATGTATTTCAATCCATTGACTATATACAGAGTAATCAAGTGAAATTAACATTTTTCTTTGCTTAATTGAAGTTCAAAATGGGCCCAAACTGTGTAAAAATGTAGTAGAGTAAATCCATATTTGATCGTGATATGTATTTTATAATGTTTCAACAAACTGCTAAAAAATCTAATTGAAGTGAATTGACTCCCTTAAAGAAAACCATTTAAAAACATTATTTTGTGCAAACTTGAAGATAAAAAGGGAACATAACTATGTAAAATTGTAGTGGTCTAAACACGAATTCGAACTTTACGTGTATTTTTAAACTCCTCACAGTGATTTGATTGGCCACGTTTTGTGAAGCGAGGCGAAGGGATACTTCTTCGTCGGAATTTGCAGTACCGGTATTTTATGATATTATATAAAAACAGTAACAGTCCATGTTTATTTCAGTTGTTATTATTTGGAAACCTATTTGTTAAAAATGCTCTTTTTGGCTGCTATATAAGATTAAATTTGATTTGTCAAATAAATTTTTCAGTCCAGCTAAGACAGAAAGTTTTAACCGCTACAATATAGAAAAATACTTTGAAAACGTACTGACACTTGAAATAAAACAACAATCAAAATGGTACGTGTAATTGTTACTGAAGTATTTAAAGTAAGTAAGCCCTGAAAGTGTTTCCTGTTGCAAGGACAATATGTCAAGTGTGGTTTGAATACATGAAATTAGATTTTTCAATTCATATCTTCATTAAAATTTGTTTGCTTGGTACTTAAGATACGATTCAGCAAGTGTTTTGTCAGGGGTTCAAGGTTACCCACTTAATATTTACGCTGTAAAAATGAGTCGATTTAAAATGCGGAAAACGGTCATCAAGCGGTGATGATTTATATTACTACATGTATAGTGCAGTGACGAATTGTTTTTTCTTCTTTTTCTTTTTTTTGCTTACATACAACTGATGCACGTTCTGTTTAAAAACTGCACAATTCTGATTAGAAAAGCGCGACATATTATTTAAAAATGACATCAACTTTGACGTCACGTTTCTATAATTACGTCATCTGACCACTTTGTTGAAAATGTGATTTCACCGCACAATATTATATGAATTGCGATAGAAAAATAATTAAACTATAATACAATAATAATTATAACTGAACTCATAATGTTTATAGTAACTAAAAACAATAAGGAAGTTTTTTATGGTCAACACTGCTGAAGTTAGAAGCACTTGTCAAGCAAAAATATCAAAACATCTAATAACTGTCATATGTATTCAAAGTAAATGCCTAGTTAAAGATTATACATGATTATGCACACGCGTATAACTTAAAGGGAGAAAACTTCAATTATAATATGCAAAGTTCGTACAACAGTAATGTCATCTTAGTAAAAATGATATTCTTTGTGGTGAAATAATGTTTACAAATATATTCTATGTCTGAAATACATGTATAGTTTTTGTCATGTCTTTTTTGTCAGCTTTGTAATACTTTTGCTATATTGTTACAAATAAATTCTGCTTGAAAAGGTCCATAATCTAGTGTACCAAATGTACTTACCAACAAAACTTATCAGCTAACTAACTGTTAAAAATGCTACTTTATAACAATTTACACCACATTACATTTGAACTGTTTGACTATAATTGTATATCTACAATTGTATGCTGCATAAAGTAAAATGTTTCGTCAACTGTGTTAGAATGATATGCTACGTTATGCTTCACTAGACTATGCTGTTTTAGTTGCGCAGGGCTATGCTGTGCCTTGCTGTGCCGTGATAAAGACTTATCGCACAACATACTCTCCCCTTTTTACCTCTTAATCAAATATGACCAAAGTGAAAAATAAATAGAAAAAAAAGTGTTTGGAAATATGTGGTTTTGTTTCTCATGGCATATAATATAATTATAAAAGTTAATGAATATAAATGTGTCAGTTTCAGTTTGAATACACTTGCATGATTAAAATGTCGATCTTGTAACATTAAGAAACATTGTATTATCATTTATAAATATATTTTCATTCAGACTGACCTGTTTCAAAAATGCTATAATGGAAAGTGAGGAACTGGATTCAGATCTGTTTACGAATTGGGTTCGAGGCTCAAAAGGACTAGAATACTTACAAGAAGGTCTTCAAGAATTTGTTGGAGAAAAGGTACTGCAATGTCGTGACAATACCCTTCAAAAGATAATATTGACATTACCATCTGGATCACCACAGCAGTGCAACCAGTGTACGTCACATAATCTGTCTCCTGATCATTTCAACACTACAAAGGCATGTAACAGACGCACATGTACCCAAAAGAATCCGACCAACTGTTTTGGAAGCAGACCTGTCGGGCGTAGGAAATGCCCTGATGGCATTTGTAGTAAATTCTACGACTCAATTATAGACGAGCATGTATTTAAAGACCCCTTATGGAAAAACACTGACCCAAGTACGTGGTGTTCGGATCCTAATGGGTGGAGTTATGCAAAATGTTTCCAAACAACTAAAGGTCCAGGGACATCAGCTAAAGGTACAGATGCTGCTGGTCTCCTAAGCATTATTATAAACAACACGTCAATGCAAAACTTTGTGACCAGTATTAATCCTCATAACAATACTAGTTCGTTTCATTTGGTAAGTACAGAAAACCGCCAAAAATTAATAAATAATTTTATATCATCAAACATTTTCTTTAATTATTGAATAGACTAATTGTATAGCCATTTTATTTAAAAAAATAACCGCAAAACAAAATCAGTGTGTTGTATATTCAGAAAATTAATGTAAACATTCAACTGAAATATGAATTCGAAATGCAAGCTTTCTTCAGTTCTTCAGTAAAACATTAGAAGTATAAACACATTAAAGTACTTATTAAAACCAAATATTCCTTTACCATAAGTAGAAAAATAATGTTCTTTATGTTGATACATGTATTACAAAAATCAAAACAAAAACACACAAAAACAGGATATTATTATAGAAATTATGTGATTCCCCTTCTACATGAATGTATTTTAAAACTTCTTTCAGGCGAGAGATATCCGTAATAAAATCTTACATAGCTCAAAGCTAGAAATCGACGCAACAACTGTGTGTTCCTATTTGGACGCGTTCATTGTAGTTCTTCAAGATCCAAAGTGTCTGATTAACGATGAGGCATCAAAGAAAGCGGTTCATAAACTAACACAGGTACATAATTTTATTATAGAAATACAAATATGATATATTAATGTGATAAGTGAGTATATGCTTTGATTTCAAGTGCTCGTTGAACTTCTGAAGGGATGACATCCGGTTGTATTTGACTTAATTTGGTACATTACATTTAAATAATGACTAAATACAAAGGCCAAAGGAAATATTTTATTAATTACATTAAGCTTATTAAATCAATTTTCACCTTATCTTATACTCGGTACTTGGTTGTGCATGCACATTTTTTTCAAAACTGATCATTTAACATTGTACTACAAATGTTTTGATCAAAGGACAAGACAAAAGAAAAAAAATATGAGGAAAGAACAATCAGGGGTCAATGTCAATGTTGCTGAAATAGAAAATAAAAAAGTTCCAGGCTGATAATTTAATTTGTAGGAATATGACATGATAAGACCATAAAGTGCATAGCTTATTTGAAAAAAGGTATATGACTGCTATTTGACTCCATGGGGTTACGTTTAGGGTCACTGTTACTAAAACAGAACAATAATGTTTCAGATTAATAGCTATAGTTAGGGACTAAGTATGTAGCCAGCAGTTTGTATATTTAATCGATATAATGGAATATAGAAGTTGAATGAAGAACAATATAAATGACTTATACTGTGGGATATTTGACTGACAAATTGATATTCCGAATATATATTATTGTGATAAAGTGATTTTTTCTCTTGATTGATTAATAAACTTCTTTAAGAGCCATATCAAAATTGTTCAAAATAAAGTTATGGAAAACAATTAATTAAGTTTTCTTTTGTTGGGAAAAAGTATTGTTCACACTGGAGTTATTCAGTTTTTTATTGTGTAGTATGTTCTTGGCTACGGATAAAGGCAAAATATGGAGATAAGTAAATTTGCAAATGATAAATACTTAAATAATATGATAATACTTGATGTTTGCCAATAAAAAATACATCATATTACAATAGAATTAACTATTGTAACTATCATGACATACCTTATTTACAGAACAGTATGTTCTTTGTTTCCTTAATCACGAACACATACTATTACATAAGCATTTCCCGGGGGACTATTTTATGGCTGCATACATTTATCACAGCAATATATAATTATGTCAAATATGTTTAAAGCGTTTATGTTCCAGTTTTAATTATAAAAACCGATAGTTATTTGACTGATAGAATAAAGAAATGAGTATCATATTATAAGAGAAAACATCATAAATTGCACTTTATCCCGACCGAACTAAGCCAAATACGTTTTTTCATGAATCAAAGCCGTGAGCAAGAAAGTAAAACGGCAAATAATATATTTAATTTGGGTAATATTTTTTAAATATAGAACAAAAGTGCCAGTAATGAGGAAAACAATTATGTGGAAAATATGTGCTAATATATCTGTGTTGTGATGACTGAAATACTTTTCAAAATAAGGATTCCTCCTAAAAAGAAGCACTATAATTATCAATTAGATTGTAGTATAGTAATGTCTGACCGACCTTGTTTCTCAATAGCAGTGTATTTTTATGAACAAAAAATGTACTTATTTATTTACGAGTGCTGTTCGAAAAGAATTGCTAATTGTCCTCTATCTCATGATCCACATGGGACACGGTAAAAACCAATACATACCTGTATAGGGTAATTCAATACCTACACAACGGTGTATAAATGTACATGTTAGACTAAGTGTAAGACATACAATTTGCCATTTAAATACACGCAGTCATTGACCACTGTAGTAAAAATGGTTGGTAGAAGCGACGACAAAAAAAGATGAAATACGCGCTTACATCAAAGCTCGCTCAAAACTGGGTTGCTTTTTGAAGCAGTTGATTATTGAACTCTCAACAGCTTATGGGCATTCTTGTGTGTCTTATGGCACAATTAGGCCATGGAAAAGGAAATTTGAGACTGGTGCAGAGTGCATCAAAATGCACCAAAATCAGGTAGGCCAAAAACTGCATCTGGTAACGAAATCGTTTCTAAAATAAAGGATATCATTGAAGGAGATGCCAGATTTACTGTTCGTGATATTGCACGAAAGGTAGACATATCAATATCAACGGTTCACTTATTTTGAAAAAGCATTTGAAAGTCAGAAAGATTTCTACTAGATGGGTGCAACATCTGTTGACCGATGAACAAGAGAGGCGACGGGTTAAGTTGGCCAAAAAGCTGCTTCAAATGTTTCCAAAATATGACAAAAACAGTTTGCCAATGTCGTCACAGGTGATAAAACTTGGGTCCATTATTTTGAGCCTGTCAGAAAAGTAAGCAACACAATCTGGGCCACAAAACACAACAAACGCCCAATAATTGCTAAACGGTCTTTGAGTGCAAAGAGGGTTTTGTATGCAATTTTCTTCTCTGGTGAAGGAATCGCAATAAAAGTACCGGTGAAAAAGGGCAAAAGTATCATTGGGAAGTACTACAAAGACGTAATACTTAAGAAACTGAAAAAGTATTATAAGAAACGACGCCCTGTCACTGGTTTAAAGCATATCCTTCTTCTACATGGCAATGCCCCCGCTCATACCTCCGCAATAGTTTCGGCGTTTTTGAAAAAAGAAAAAGTAACTATTTTGCCTCACTCCCCCGTATTCTCCAGACCTTGCCACATGTGATTTCGTTTTGTTTCCGAAATTGAAATCCTTCCTTGTTGGGCGGAAATACAAGTCATGACAGGCACTTGGATCTACCATTCATCAGTATCTTACTACTGTGCCCAAATCAGCGAACCGTGACGCCTTCAAGAAGTGATAACATCGGCTGAAACTTTGAATTTTTAGCCACGGGGAGTAATTCGAGGGCATGAAATGAACACTTTCGAGCTAACTTGAAATTTAAAGTCTCCAGGTAGAAATAAGCAATACATTTCGAACAGCCCTCGTATAGCATGTATAAACTATTTATTCAGCGAAATATTAACTATTAAAATTCGACCCATACATTGAAATCGAATATTGTTTATTTCTTTGATTAAGAAATTATTCATTTAAAACCGTTCAATAACAAACATTATTAGCGAAAAGAAAAGCTACGACACAAGTCTGTTTTATTTTTTGGCATCATGAATTCTGTCATACTGGACTTCGTTCTATATTCTACACATATACGATCCGTACAAGTTATTAAACAAGATATTCAGGTTCTGCTAAGGTATGTCTCAAAATAAAGAGAAATAAAATTGTGACCATTATTTATGTGATTTTTCCATATTAACATACTTATGTGATACTAACAGGCAAGGATCCACCTTTGGGGCTAAAGATGCTGAAGCCACTCCCCCCCCCCGACAACCTGGCCTGTTTTTTGTTCTTTCGAAAAAGGCACACTGAGAGTAAAATGTTAGTAAAAACTAGCAGGGGGGGGGGGGGGCATTTTCTAAATCAGTATTTTACATATTTACTTCTCTCGCTCAAGCGATTGTTTAAGCGGACCATGGTGTATATACTGTGATAGTTCTATTAAAATTGTTAAATTAGGAACAATAAACAATGTTTAATATAGCATTTATGTATGCCTTTTTCATTACAGTTAAGAAACAACACAATACACATAAGCCAAGGAGACACAGTGTCACTTCTTGTGAACAGAAATAAGGCGTTAACCGAACTTGACGAAAGAACAGCAGAATCATTGCGTAAACTTGATGAGAAAGCATTAGCTGTACGTAATACATTAAAAAAAGATGTTGATGAATTTAAGAATGCCGCTTTAGTTGATGTTGAAAACGTTGGAACATCGGTTAAGCAAACAATTGTGGCAGAGGTTACCGCAGCCGGGGATCAGGCATTACAAGACATTGCTGGTAATACTACTGATGGTATATCTAAAATAAACACAGCCGGAAAACAGGCATTGCAAGACATATCCGAGGCAAAATGCGATATTGATGGACAGAAAAGTGAAGCTATCTCCGATATTTATAATGCAAAGGACGATGTTTTATCTGCAATCACCAAGGCTGGTAAAGAAGCAAAAGCAGAAGTTTTAATGGGAGCTAGTGCTGCTTCGTCTGATATTAGCGGACATGCTGTTACAAGAAAGTCACTTTTCCAAAAAGGTCTTATGAAGCTCAAAAATGTGTTCAGCTCTTCAAGTCCAAAGTCCAAAGTTAAGGTTCGTTTTCAACACTTCATAACATCTTTTATAACTTTCTCAATCAAGTACATTGTCTATGTGCCTCAATAGCTTCCAGTTACTCTTTTTTGTATTCTTTGTTTGTAAATTTGTTTGATTTGGTTATGGTTTTGTCGCACAGTAGAATAGAGGTGGTCATATAGTGTCTTTACAGCTTAAATGGTGGATTAAGACTTCAGGTTGACCTTTCGTGCAGTTTTGTCAGGCATATGCGGACACTTTAGTAAAATCACCAACGTTCTGAAAACTATCAATTTATCCAAAGTCCGTAGTTGAATTCGAACCTGAACTGTGATGGGCATTTATTTTAAAGTCAACGACATGAAGAAAGACTATTGTAATTGTGAATAAATGTGATGTAAGACCTATCACCTATAAGTGAGACTTCTGTTTCAATTTCTGTGATAAATTCATCTATATCGATACTTCATTAAATATATTCATGTGAGTATTTTTATAGGGGTTTAGTTCTGTAACGATATCTTTATTATTATTCAAAATTCTCTGAAAGTTTAAGTCTAAATGCATCGATGATGACATTGGTATTATATCAATATGTGGGCTATAACGTGCTTAAAATATATTGTGGGTGTTATAAACAAACAAGACAACGACGCCGTTACCCAGATCATTTTTCTCATTTGTACTGGAAAAGAATAGGATCAGTGATCATGCCTAATATTTACATTTTTGAATAAATATTTTTTTTATCCCTTTCTCTTTGCTAACTCGGCAATGTTTTATCAGTTTTAATTGCTTTGTAATCTTCTTCTTACTAATATTTTGTTTAAAAAAGAAAAAGTGTGATCATCCAAGTTTCAAGTTAACATCTCTTCTAGTTCCGGAGATGGAATATAACTCAACAGAATGATTCCTATATAAAAGCGCCCTCAAGTATGTTTGGAATATAATTAAGCAACCGAAAATAGCTTTAAAATATACAACTCTATGTAAAATAAGTGACCCCCAGGGCGGGGCCATTTTTAACCAAAATGTATACTTCTGTTATATAGGTCCACTATGCAATGCTACATTCAAAATATCAAGGATTTTGGCCAGAGCTGCATTACTGGTACTGGGACTGGTACTGCAGTACGTACTGCAGCGATTTTGCAAGTACTGGTACTGATACTGAATTACTCTAACAAAATTTTTCTACTACTGGTACTGGTACTGCATTACTGTCTTAAAAAGTGGTACTGCTACTGCATTACTCAGTACTTTTGGTTTTGATAAAAATTAAAAATAGCATCAATTTTTCTCATAAAATAAAGCTGTAAATTACATTAACTATATTTTATTTTTGTGAAAAAGTAAGTTATCAAATCTAAAGATAATTTGCTGCAATATTCCTTCAAATGTTAACATAGATTTCATCATAAAAAGCACCAAAGACTTTAAGTAAAAATTAAACTAAGATAAACAGACTCAATAACTCTTTACCCTAAAATATCCTTATTAAAATCTTTTATTACTTTGTATTTACTAGTAAAAGAGCAAAATAAACACTAATTAATTTCTTCTATTCTAAATAATCCCATTTCAAGTGAAAAAAGTGATATTGTTAGCACCATAAAAAGTTGTTATTTACCTTGGTATATATTGAACAGAGATGTGAAGGTGTGAAAGGCAACAAAAGACTGTTGTGTTTTAAATGAAAGACGTTTGCATTGTATTTATACAGTTGACTGGTTACTAAACAATTAGATATGACATGAATATATGTTGTAAATATTTTTTGTTAAACGTATGTTTAAACTATAAAGTTGTAAATATGTTATGTTAACTTTAAAGTACACTTTAAAGTACATTATGATTTTATTTCTTTGCTGATTAATATTTGCAATTATTTGTTTGACACTGTATTTATTCATACTTTGATGAATATATAAAAGTAATGGTACTGATACTTAATTACTTCACCAAAAAAAGTACTGGTACTGCAGTACCAAGCTAAAATCTAGTACTGGTACTGGTAATGGTACTGCATAATTTGCCAAGTACTGGTACTGGTACTTAAGTACTACACCCTTAGTACTGATGCAGCTCTGATTTTGGCTATGCAGTTTCTTAAATGAATACTACAATTTGTTTACGTTTATAAGTATAAAGACACTAAGTATACAAAGGAACTGATCAGTTTTGACTTGAACCAAGTCTGCAATGTGTATGCAATTCTGTTGTGATTAATGCTTCCGAGGGATCATTTTTGTTTCCAGATTCTATATAACTGTTGGCTTTCCATTTTCCAAAAAGAAGTTTTTAAGACTTATCTTTTTAATTTATAAGTCTATGTGTACTGAATAGTCAAAAAGACTGGGATTTTTTTATCAAAATGACATGAATTATAACAATTCTGTAGAGGTTCACTAGCCATTGTTGCATGTCAAATATTCAAGCTCCAAGCATTGTAGTTTTACAAAAAGACCTACATTAATTTTCCTATGTTTGTCCTTATAAATTAAGTGATCCTAGGGGCGGGGCAAAGATTGACTGAATTGGCATACTTAATATAACCTCTGTAGAGGGCCTCAATACAATGCAAAACCATACACTGCCTATTAAACAACCAATTTTCTAGCTCGCGACCACATTAACGTCTTGCCCTGGTCGCTGTCCCCCCGGATATTGATGTGATTTTACATGACTTGGATGATTTTGGGCAAAGAGTGAGGACACGTTACCAGATATATAACGTTAACGACCTCGTTCCGGTACTGCATGTAGAATGGCAGACCCTGTCTAACGCCTTAATCAGGAGTTACGTTCACTCGATGAGGCGGATAATTCGAACATGTACTGCCAGTTACGTGGGCGGCCACACACGTGACTGAGTTCTTCTGATAACCAATATTGGATTTAATTCAACGAATCAGAATATCTAATGTCTCGTTTACTATCGCCTTTCATTCCTAGATTTTTTGGAACCCTAGGTCAGAATTTGTTATAATGTGTATACATTGTTTCTTTTGGTTAGGTCAGTGTGAGTAAATCGAAGCAAAATCTCAAAGGAATAAATTGTTACCAGATACATTCGGAAATACCAATAAGAAATTGAAATATGACCATTTTCAGCCCATGTAAAGTGTTTATTATTTTGCTGAGTCCAAAGCTTTTGGGCCATTGTAATTTCATTTTAGAACACTATTTAAAAGATTTCATTTATAAAGACTAGTTTTAGATTTTGCAACCTTCTTATGTATAAAACTGGAAAAAATACATTTTATGTAAGTGGGTCATCTAAGGATAACATTGTATGTTTATGTCAAAATCAATATAATGGTTGAGTATGAAAACCGGCTGGCGACAAAAAACATACATTTTCATTACAAAAATTACCCTTTTTTGTACAATGTACTCTGGTGAACTTTAATGTTATCCCAACATCCAAATAACCTTTGTGTTGTTATCATCTACTTCGAATTTGGACAAACAAATCCTATTTAAAATATAAAAGGAATACTCCTATAACTTAAACGTATAATTTATTTACTTTACATCAGTCAAATTCGAGATATGAACTTGAAACTTCATAGATCTTAATAAGGAGGAGTGCCGTTTGCAAGAATAGTATCTGTACCTTACTATTTTTTATTTTTTCTGCAATGCTTATTATGTTTCTTTTAATGCTTTATTTTGTCCAGAGCGTATTTTGAAACGTGTTGAATCTTTCAAGCTATATAGACATGTTAAAGAAAGAGCGCAATGCACAGATATGAAAACTGTACCCATCATAATTTTGAGCAATTACCTTTGATAATTTTTATTCTTTATTTTTTCTGGACTTTAACTCGACAATTACGAGACAAATCAGTTTGAAATTTTATAGATATATACATCTTAATTAGACGGTGTGCTATGCACAAGAATGATAACTCTCCGAACTATTATTTACTTGTATCATAGTTTGGGGACCTTTCTGTTTAAAAAAATGTGACAGACTTAAATCGTATACATATACATGCACAGTGCGTTAACTGGAGTGCAGGTATTAATTACCCGCACTCTAGAGCATGCCCATCGATTGATTCATTTTGTCCGGGGTTTACATATTGTGACGACAGAGAAAGGGAAAGCGATAGAAATATCATATTCAGATGCTCGTTCATTGGTTACTTTTTTGTGGGGTTTGATATTGTGGTATCAGGGAACGTGTTTTTATGATTTGACTATGATACAAAAGAGAAAGAACATCAAAACACTCGGCAATCTGATTTATACTCGGGGGCTACGCCCCCTCGTACAAATCGTATAGCCTCGTGTTTCGATGCTCTTTCTTCTACTTATTTCCCTAAACCATGCTTATTTTTTGTCCAGAGAAGTTTTTAAGATATTTATTTCAAAGTTTTATGAAATGTGCCTTATTCGAGTGTTATAACGTTTAATATTATTTAGTTTTTCCCCTTTTTATGATGAATACTTGTTAGGAGCATGTCTGGGAATATCAGTTTGAACATTCATATGAAGCTCACTTTTTCATATTTGTTTCATATTCTTAGTTATTGCTCATGCTATTTTCTTGCTTAATGTTTGGACAAAACTCGATTAGTTTTGTTTTCTCAGGTATGTAATAGTTGAACTGTTCATCAGTTAACATAATCCTGCAAGTGGAATATATTATTACGTTCTAGCAGTACCAATGCCAATGGTTTCATTCTTTTCACACTTTTCAGTACAAAGTGTTTGATCGTGCCAAGTTATATAATTATTGCTGTCATTGTTTCGAAGTTTAAATATCAATCACAGTTCATGCTATAGGCAAGTTATATAACAGTGCTATCCATTTATTACATGTTATTCCCCTTTTACAAAATATAGGACCTGGTATGGTTAACCTATTCCGGCAAGTTGTTTTTATCTTAAATTTCTCCTAGTAAATTTATTAATTTATGATATCTCTCATAATTGGTATTGGTCCCCTAGCTTTAAGACAGTGCAATTTTGGATCACTTGTATCAATGTCCACGTTACTGTTGTAAATTTAACAATAAATTCCAAACAGTTATTCCTCAAGTTTAGGTTGAATTGGGGGACTGGGGTCAAGGTCAAATCCTTGCATGTGTGCATACTTGATTCATTTTTTGTTCTAAGCTAAATATTTTTATCAAATAGCAATGACATGGCAATTTACAAAAGATCATGACCTTCTCAAGTAGTATTACTGCCTACACTATCTTAACAATTTCCGTCCATAACTAAGTGAATGGGGAATTGTTTTGAAAAATGTGTTACTGACAAGAATTTAACCGGACAAATCATCATAATAATCATATAATAGATACAATAAAGTGGATTTATGGCCTTGTTTTTAGGTCAGTCCTATCAGAATCGATATCAATAATTTATTATAATTTTCAATGACAATATAATAATTGCTTTACATTTTGTAATATATAGCGCTTAAACAGTTTATCAACCATTATCATAAATATCATAATTTTATCTTTCATTCTTTTCACAGGGATCGCCAAGCCGATCAGAGGAAGTTACAAGTAAGTGAATTTATCTTTTATCGTTTTAATTTTAGAAGGAAGAAAATAGATAAGCCCTTGTCCGTCCGGTCATGCGTCCGTCCGTTCTCATATTGTGTCATAACATCTAAATCTACAAGTATTTGACCTATAGTCAAGAATCTTTACAGAAAGGTTTATCAGCATGTGTAGTTGTGTACGTATGGTTTCGCATGTGAATTTGTTCAGTATTTGTAGAGCTTTTGTCCTTGACTGAGTAAAGTTTACAATGTACAGCTTGTGTCGTGCTTTCTTATCAACAAATGAAAGAAAAATAGCCAAGCTTGACACACATGATCTTTTGGTGGGATTTGATGGTCATAATGCAAATTATTTCGGTTGACGTCAAAACAAGGTCACAGGGCATAAAATAGATTTATCAGATGAGCAATTTAGTGTCCTCTGGACCCTCTTGTTTTCTATTTTTTGTAGTTATTGAGGTCAAAGGTCACAATTCCTTGCTCTTGAGTTTCGTAAAGTTTAAATAATGCTTTAGAGCATGCACATAGTAGAACTGAGTAAGAGAATATATGTCATCAAAGAAGCAATACTTTATTAAGCAGTATTTTGCCTGTGTATGTCTTTAAACTGTCAAGATGCAACGAAGAAAAAGATGGTTGAGGTAATTGGACTGTGAGTAACGTTTTGGAAACTATATCACCACTTCAAGAAAAATAATATGCTTTTGAGAAACTGAAATAAAAGGCATTTCTGGGACATAATGTGCCTTTTAATGAACTTAAACTAAAGTTTTACATTATAGTGTGTATTGGGATATCAGCCGGAAATTCAAGTTTTGTTTTTATATTTGTTTTGGTTTTATGGTGGAAACGATATCAACAGCAGATCTGGTGATAACATGAACATGTGATGACAATAAGCAGATCATAACCACAAAAGGATCAGATGTTCTGAACAATAAACCAATAGTAGAAAGTAGTAGAATATCTCCATGTACACATGCAGAAGCAGGTAGAAGGCCTTTACTTTATGTTGCTCATGCTGCAAGGCTGAACAATATAAAAATCCTTGTACGCACTGTTGATACTGATGTTGTTGTCATAGCTACAATTAACAGCCTTTCAACATATGAATGTACAAGAGCTATGGATAGCATTTGGCACTGGAACACAATTATTTAGATATGTACCTGTACATACACTCTGTATCTCTGGTAAGGATATTGTAAGTGGTTTATTGGCATTCCATGCGTTTACTGGATGTAACCAAACTTCATCATTCCCTGACAAAGGTTAAAAGACAGCATAGAGGACCTTAAAAGCATTTAGTGTAGCTGTCGAAGCATTTAACGTTCTTAGTCAAACTCCATCAGATGAGTCTATTGCCACTGTTATTCCAACGTTGGAGCGATTTGTATTACTTTTACGAGCGATCAAATGCTGCTTAAAGAGTCAACAAAGCGCGAAAAAACCTCTTCTCACGAAAAAGGAGATCTATTGATGGAATTCCACCGACACATGCTGCCCTTTTAAAACACACTAGACCAACAGTATACCAAGCTGAGTGCTTCTGAGGAAAAGGGTTTTTGCCCTCCCAAGAACTACCTTGTCCAAATAACTAAGGTCAGGATAATACTCGGGAGCCATTCTGGACAACACTAAAACAGGCATCCGAGTCTTGCCAGGAGTTACTGAAGTGTAGCTGTAGTCTCGAGATTGGTTGTCGTGAGAGGTGCAAATGCTCTTTGTCTGTGTGGTGGAGACTATGACCGAGGGTAAACTTACAGGCGAGGTTCAGGGTCGGTGTAATTTTTGGTTTAGTAAAAAGTTAGTAATATTGGTATATCTTTGTTAGTTAAACCTATCAAGTGATACACAATCAAAATACAGTAAAAACCCTCAATTAAGACCTCCATCGGGACTGGACCGAAGTGGTCTTAAATGAAGGGTGATCTTAATTGTGAATATTGTTATCATTGCTTACACACGTTATGACCAGGGCCTATTTTACTCATTTTGTATGAACAAACAATATGTATATTAACCTGCAAATACAATATGAAAGTATGTTATAATGTTACATCTTATTTCTGAAGAAATTTTTTAATATCAAATTTTCTTTGCTCTGATTTCAATATTAATTATGTATGATGTACATTATTCACATATCATGTAAGACATTATTTCTTCACAAAATAAATGTGCATAAAGTAACATTAAACCACTCTGAAATTAACTTTCTCACCTTTTCATGAAATATCCCATAAATAACAGTTTTTGACACATTGTGTAATCAAGGGTCATGCCTAAGAGCAATCAAGCAGATAATAATAACATAACAACACATCTAACATAGATAAATACAGAATCCCCAAAGAAAGCCCAACACGGCAAAATTGAAAATGTTGCAGGCTCGGTTTGATTGAGCCTGTTCATGGACGGTAGTGGAAAATGCACGTTACCGTCCACGCCCCCTAGCACCGACTTAAGCAGAATTCAACATTTAAACGTGAAATAGTAAAATTTTGAATTTAGAAACATCCGCAGATCTGTTCATACGGCGGTTATCATGGAACCTTCAATGTGACACAGTAGTGCCATTCCATGAAAAACGGCGTATGGTCCCCAAGTAATAAAAAGCGTGTGCCCTAAAAAGATCGATCTAGGGAGGTGTTGATTTTAATATCAGTGGTCTCAATAGTGAGGTCAAATAAAGAACAAAATAATGAATTGGTACTGAATTTGGTAGTCTTAAAAGTGGATAAGTGAGGTGGTCTTAATTCTGGATCATGTAACCATTGACATAAAGAACAGAAAATTCCGTTCTTTTAAACACTGGTCTTAAAAGCGAGGTGGTCTTAATTCCGAGGTGGTCTTTAGTAGGGATTCTACTGTAGAAGTAATAAACACATCAATTATACCTGAAACACAAAAAACACTTTTTGTGCATTTGGCGGCCATTTTGGAAGCCATTTTCAAATAAATGCAGCTCTTGAATTTAAATCATATGAGAGGTAAACACGTATTTATATGTGTGCAACATGAAATTAATAAATTTGATAACCCTTTATGGATTTATTGAACATTATTCATATAGCCAGTAATTATTTCATCTTATGGAAGCACTCTTGGCGGCTATCTTGAAAATGGCGTGCATTTTGAAAATTGAAGATGGGTTCTTAGCAAAAGTTAAACAAACTTAGTTCATCAACAACGTGACAAGTTTGTAACTTTTATCACAAAGTAAACAATTATTTCACCATATGATTCCACAATAATTAAAGGAATAGTCAAACACAATGCCACTTGCGTCGAGCCTAACGCGCTTATACGCGAGAATTTGAAAGGCTATTCACTGTGCAGTACAATGAGCAGGAATCCAATAAGAGCACTCATTTCGAGTGTTCAGAACTTTTGGCTACTTCAAACACAAACCACAAGGTTGATTGAAATGTTATTCAACGTTCTAGTCAGTGTTCTCATTCCAAGTTTTCAGAACTTTAAACTACTTCAAAAACAAACAACAATTTGATTATAACGCAAGTCAACGTTCTAGTCAGTTTTTTGTTTCAAACATTCAACTCATTCAGAAACAAACCACAAGGTTGATTATAATGTTACTGATCGTTCTTGTCAGTTTTCTTCCTCCAAGTGTTCAGAACTTTTAACTACCACGAGTTTTATTATAATGTTATTCAACGTTCTAGTCAAGGTTCTCATTACAAGTGTTCAGATCTTTAAACTACTTCAGACTCTATCCTTTAGGATGATAAAAGTGTAAAAAATTAACATTCTTGTTCTATTAATATGAGCTTACTTTATTAAATTGATAGTTCATCACATGTTTCTGATAGTGATCCTGTTAATATGTTACATGAATCAAGATGCAAAGTATTCCAAATAGGTTGAAGCATCAAATTCTATTTATTATATAACGATTGTCACATATCACATATGTTACATAAACACGTTTGTAAACTTTATTTCAAACCGCATTTGTTTCTTCAAACCGTCCGCCAGGCTGCTGTCAAATGAAATGGAAAGTTTTCATATGCTAACTCAATGCGAATGCCGTAATGGTGGCAATATGTACACATACAAGAATGTGATAAAATTGCTTTTAATTGCATAATTGAGAGACGGCATATTTCAGTTGAAATTCAATTTTTTAGCCTGCTTGGAATACTTTCTTACGAATGACAAGCAGCTAAATGTATGTTTACCTGTGGTAATTTTGAAAATGTGTTGGCACAAAACATGTCGAACAAGTAAGTTTAAGGTATTTTTTCACGTTTGATAATCCATTTATCGTAAAGAAACATAGATGACTCAATATTTTAAAGGTTACTCAAAGATATGTCTATTGTGCTATGTTTGCAAGTGTAAGTATGAAAATATGTCTGATATTAAAAATTGTGACAGTAAAATGTTGACTGTGTCGGGTAAACACGCTACGTCGAGATATATACTTTTTATAAATTGTATATAGTAAACGGGTGGTGGATAGTAATTTTGTTCTTGATGACCAAGGGGTCATTATTTTATGATAATTTGATCATTTTTGACAAGGCAAATGTGCCGAACGCCTGTGCCTAGAGGTTGGAGATACCAGGTTCGAACACCGTTCTCGGTAAATGGTTTGCCTGCCTGACGGTACTGATAATTATTTTAGTTGCATGATGGTTGCCTCTGCAGTTTAAGACTTTGCGGAAAGTTATTTAGACTTCGATGATAGCAAACTAAAAAGTTTTATAAATGTGTATAAATAAATTAAACACTTTTGTGGATTTTTTAGTGATCCTTTTATGTTTTTCAAGGAATGTCTTAACGTTAAATCGGCATAAATACCCAAAAGCTTGGAGCACACTATTTTGTGTAAAATTCCAAAGATGTATGCCACCAACTACATCAACTGGAAATGGGATTGGTTGTCCCAAATTAATTTCATTAATTTTGTTGCGATCTTTATTAAAAAAGTTACTACGGCCTAAGTTAACGTGTGAAAATATCTATAACCTCAAA